CGCTCCCAACGGGACCAGGCGAGTTAGGTTCATACTTCCGGGAATGAGTATGTGAACAAAGTTAAAAAGTTACATGTCAGAGTTATTTTTACAATTAATTTTAGGATTGAATGCCACTTTTAAAAACTTTTGGGGAAATAACGCGATTTAAGATGAACATAAGAGGTTTGTAGTCTTGGCTTTTCTTTCTTAGGGAGCTACCATTTGATTTTTATGGGGGTGGGGGGGGGCTAGGATGAAATTTGAAAAAAATAGGCAGGACAGGAGTTTTGAGTAAAAAAAAAGGCAGGATGAGCAACTTGGCAAAACAAAAAGGCAGGATGACAATTTGTGTAAAAAAATTCAGGATAAACTAGTAAAAAAAAAGACAGGACCGAATAGAGTAAAAAATAAAAAGGCAGGACAGAGATTACAACTAAAAAATAAAGCAGGACAAAATTTTTCATCCTAGCCCCCCCCCCCCCCCCCCCCCCCCCCCCCCCCATAAAAATCAAATGGTAGCTCCCTTACTGTTAAATTGCATGAGTTCTATTTTTTTTAGCTGAGTTTGATAGGTTTAAAGAATATATGTGAAACAAATCTGGTCGTTTAAAGGACTATGGGTAACTCCAAAATGAAAATAACGTCACATCGTTGGTTGAATTTCAATTGTTTAGGACGTTTTTAACCAATCACGACGCTTTGGTGTACACTTTTAAAAATGTTTCCCAGAATGCATTAGTTTCTGAAACGGCGAATTAAAAAGTGGTCTTATTACAAAATCATCGTGTGTTCCCCCAATTCCAGTTCGAAACAATTATTTATAAAAGGAGAACCGTTTTTTTTTTTGTTTCTTCGGGTTTAAATATTAATGAAATATTTGTATCTATAAATTGTTAGATATTCTCTTGATTTCATGTCCGAGAGTCCAGAAGTTACAATGTATTCTATACAATTCATTTCTGAAATATGCCAATGAAAAACAAATCGTGTATGTGATCGCTGCGTTGAAGACCCATTGGTGGCATTCGGCTGTTGTCTGCTCTGTGGTCGGGTTGTTGTCGCTTTGACACATTCCCCATTTCCATTCTCAATTTTATTTACGTTGCATTGTAATAGTGTTAAGACATTTCTGTATCCAACCCGGCTTTACATTAGTAATGTTTATACTTAAACGAAATTATGATTGTTTCACTTAGAACGAATGACTTCTCAATACAAACATATTTTTTTAATCCTACTTCATAAAAACCACTTTATTTCGAACAGAATGTTTCTAAGATTTAAATCTTTTTATTGAAAACATGCCTTGCCATTCTTTTATTCCAATTTTTCCATTGTTCGTACAAGGTCCCCATGAAGGAAAATGGGAGAAGGAGTTATTATCCACAAAAATTCACATTGTCTTTTAATTAATTTTAAATTGAACTTAACAAAATTCCCCTTTTTTTCGAAATAAAGATTTGTTTTAAACTCATACTTTCCTTAGAAAATTATTATCTGGGATTTTTTTAAAGATAATCAATTCTTGATTTTGAAATTTTAGCATGGAATATTGATATGCCTACATAGCAAATGAACCTTATTGTCTCAAGACATCTCAAGATGTCTCAAGATAAAGAGGTTCATTTGCTGTATTCATCAATTTCTTAATCACAACTTTTTTTTTTAAGTTTTAAATTCAATCATGTATTCATTTATGAATTATGCCCGTCACGTGATCTCCTGTGGAAAAAAGGCAATAGATATTCTTTTTATTCCGGACAGTAATGGTCATATTCAATGCTCAGATTAACTATTAGAGAGACAGAATTTTCTTTTAAAATAGATCAACGTTTTTCATCAAAGAAAGATCCTTTATGTGAGGTCTATTGCTTGTCAAAAGCTCAATGAAACTTGATGTCATAATGAGGCTTTAATACTTAGGTTCTTAACTGTATCATTATACAGGATACATCTCACGACCAGTTGTCGGTCTTCTGATCGCAATAGATTTATCACCTCGGTAAACAATGATCTTATTCTGTTCATCAAATTGTTCAAGTTTAAAAGGTACGAAATCGTTGATTTGTGATGGTTAGGAGTTCATTAGAAACAGTCCGAGTAGTACTAAAACTATTCGGAGCAATTCAATACTATAATTCACACCGCGGTTCTACCGCAAAGCAGACTATCTGCTAATTGTTGCAATATTTTTACGACAATTCACAGAGACCTGTCAAAGTGTTAACTGAACCACTGATAATTATAAGTCCCGTTATGTTATCAAAGATTTATGTTGGTTTAAATGTCACGTGGCTTTGTCAATCAAATTAAATTTGCTTTCTCTATTAAGTTTTCAGAACGGAATAGGAAAAGGATTGAGTGGTCGAAAATTGAATGCTGCAAACAGGTTTTCGAATTTCAAACTTTGTGGAAAATATCTAGAAATTCTGAAATATTAAATGGAAAAGAATATGATTAATTTTATTATGATTTAACTGTGCATTGATGATGAAAAGGACGCGAAACGTGTACGTGCATAATTTCAATGTATGATGCTACTCAGGGAATTTGCATGCATTTTACCATTTTATTTTATGAGTTTTGTTTATTCATCCAATCAAATTCAGGATTCATGTCGAGGTAAGATTAAAGTTGACTAGGAGACACTTACGGGGAGGAATTGTATATCGTTATTTTCTTTATTTCAGTGTTTAAATGATAATTTTAATAATATATAATTATTATCTTTCTTTTATACTGTGTGATAATTTATTCCTTTACCTTTTATACATTGCATTTAAGGACAAAATAGGTTTTAAACAACATAATGCACGATTAATTCTGACAAAACAAAACAAAATACTTCCAATGCGGACGGCAAAAACGACACCGCCGGAAATATACTCAATTCCCCCCTTTATATGATTGTCTTGCGTGTTTATGGAATTACCGTTGTCAGGTATGTTTCGGGACAAGGACAGAAATGTTTAATGTGTCACTAAAGGTTTATGTTTTCTTTTTTGCACATGCGTATGCGAATTTTGATTTGCATTAATTTGCCTTTTTATACAAATAAATTCCAAATAATGAAAAAAACTAAAGACATGCGTATTTTACGGTTTTAAGGACACTCAATTAAAGATGGTAAAAATCCTTTGTAGATTCATCATGTAGAAATGACAATGGAAACGGGGAATGTATCAGTATGCATTTCAATAAGAAATAATCTTAAACGAGATTAAAACGCATAGACTCTGCTTTCCCAATGTTCACAATTTTATTTATTTTTTTCTCAACAAAAAAAAAGACAAATCTAAATGAAGACAAAATTAAGATACAGACCGAGGTTGATAGATTGAAAATTTTACCAGAAACACTTACGTCACGGTATAGCTCAATCATATAAGCAGGTGATACAGTTTAATTTTACTTATTTTTTCATTAAAAAAAACAAGCAAAATAAAAAAAAATCAAATCTAAAATATTGAAAATCTAACATTGATGATTACCAATAAATATTTTGAGTCAACAAATGTGACTGAGGAACTAAGCCGTTCTGCTTCAACTCTCAATCCGGTTTGATTTGAATTCTGACTTTGGGGTGTATAGATTGATTAAGGGACTTAAAGTGAATTATAAATGTTAGGTCTGACGCGCATTAAAACTTGGTCCAGTCCACCCTTAATTTTGCATTTACCAAGTTAGAAATATGACAGTCTTTCAACAAATGGTTTAGGATAATCACTTGAATAGATTTTTCCTAACATTGACCAGTTTATATGGATACTTTATTTTTAATAAACATTGAAGTTTAGTATATTTCGAATTCCATATTCTTATAACTTTTTGATCCGTTTACTTTCTTCTTAACTTTTGCTAAATCTTCTTCAATATGAAATAAAGAGATATCGTATAATTACCAATGAGACAACTATCCAACAGAGTTAAAATCTGGATTAAAGCAATTATAGGTCACCGTACGGCGTTCAACAATTACAAAAAAAAACATACGGTATAGTCAGCTGTAAATGATAAACGTGAATCAATTAAAAAAAACAACAACAGTTTGATTCATAACATAACAATGAACAAAAAAAAATATAACATACAGCAACCAACAACAACTACTGGAATATCAGAAAACAATCGGTCTGTTACTTTAATGAAATATGAAATTATGAGACAGAAATGAATTTTATATGTAAGACTTTTCATTTCAATGAAGAGAATTATATATTTTATATTATTATTAAAATTGATTTTGTGAGAGAAAAAAAAACATATTTTTTAATGTGATTAATTGTTTTAAAACTTATCCATAAAAGGGGAGATAACTTAGATAACTGACTTTTATTAAGGAATGTACACTTGTTATGTATACATAATTTTATCTATTTTGTTTTGTTGCACGAAAACGTGTCCCTTGTCCAATTTTTCACTCATATTCAGAATACTCATTTTAGGAGCTATTCTACATATCCTCATATATATTCTTTAATCTATCGTTTAGTCTTTTTTGCATTCACACATAATTGGTTTTTTAATGTTTAATCTATAAAACAAATCTCACACTTTTACACAACTTGAAAACGCTCCGTAAACAATACTTTTGGTTTTATTTCAGAAAAAAAAATGCTTTAAATTACGTTTGGCACAGTATTAAAACGTTCTATCGTTGTTTTTGTTTTTAAATAGACTTCCTATCTTCCAGAGACAGTAAATTCAATCTTAGAATATAAAGTGTATGAAAAGATATCTTTTAAACTCGTTGTGCAAAAACAAAATTGGTATAAAAAAACAGAGACCCATATATATATATGTGTTTTTATTACTAAATCCCGTAGGATGCTGCATTCTTTAGTTCCCTAACATTGCTTTAATGCTAAACTTATCTAACAATTAATAATTTATTTTTTCGAGAAACTATATGCATGTATGCATTGTAGACATTTTTCTGTCGATAAGATAAAACATTAAACTAGTGTCCCAAAAAATCACGAAGGTTTTTTTATTGTCACAGAGGCAAAATTTAAGAAATGTATATTGGTAAGTTCAATAAATTCTAAATCAGAAAATCTGAGAATCAGAAAAAAAATTGAATCGAGCTTGTGGAGACAAATGTGATTAAATATGTTCATAAATAAGAAAGAATTTAGAGAAAATAATATACAGATAAACTATTAGGAATATTTTAAGATGAATATGGAATTTAATTTTAAGACAAAAGTTCTGAACGGACTGACTTACAGTAATAAAGAGATATAATCAAAAAAATAAAACTTTTTTTATTCCAAATCATCATAGGTGTTCCAGAAACTTTCTATTCCTTTAAAGTATACATTTCACAACACCTGTATTAAATGTCAAATTAACTTCCCATTAAGGTTAAACTTGTGAAAATGTATTGTTTTAATCATCACTGACAAATGGTCCATAAAGACGTAATAAAGACAATGACATTTTACCCCGTTTCTGTATCAACTTTAGAGATCTGAATAGTTTATATAGGCAAGATACGTATCACCACACCTGAGAACTACAATGTTTGTCACGCTGAAAGCTAATAATATCATCTTATTGTTTAGAAAATGTAAAGTGATCGTGCCCTTTTACAGTTTAGTTGACCTGACCTGTATCTTATGACTCTATGAAGGATGAGTTTCAAAACGAGGCTGTATATGGGACTTCTATAGCAATATCAAGATTTTGGTGTTTTTAGATATATAATATCAAATTTATTAAATGTGAATAAAGTAATAATCTTTAAGTTGTATTCGTTGATTGTCATAAGCTAAGATCTTAAATTAGTGGCATTCTGTGTGTATGCTGAATAAAATATATTAGCATCTCTGGACCCTAATGACTCTATTCCGAAGCCTCACCGGATAACTGCGTGATGAATGATTCAAAATATGGTATCGGTGACACCGAAGTACTAATAGGACCAATTAGTACTGTGTTGAATTATGATATCGTTGTATATAAAAACTAATTATTGTATTTAACAGTATTTATTTCAAGATACATCTGATTTAGTAGTGTAACGCACGATAATATACAAAATAGACCGTCGTATATCTCTTTTGGGGATTTTCTGGTAATGGAGCGATCGTAATTTTGTTTAAATGATGTAATTTAGTTTGCAGTTGAGCTGAACGTATCCCTTCTCTAACTTGTGAATGAAACCAAAACTAAGACGTTTTGCTACAGCAATCCAAACTCGGTAAATAAATTCACAAATCATCTGTCCAAAGTAGGAATCCTAAACAGCCCAGCCCAGTATCTATTACTTCAGTACCGGCATGGAAATGCAAACATATTTTGATTTGAATTTGCTGTTATAAAATTTGCAAATCATTTTGAATTAGGGAATATATCTCCTTCATGCATAGCTCTGATTCCTTGCCCAATTTTTCTTTCCCTTTTTGTTTTATAAGCTCTTCAACGTTTGTATTAGGTTTTGAATTGTAAATTATTTGGCTTTGAGCATCACTGAAGAGACATTAATTGTCGAAATGCACATCTGGTGCAGTAAAATTGGTACCGTTAATGTTATTGTTATTGACAATGGTCCCCTTCTGCTATATTTTAATGTTTTTATATTTTGGCTAATTTGGTTTTGATAGTAGATCTTCGAAAGCCTCTGCTAATATCGACAAGATCTCAAAACGAAATAATATTTAACTGTTAGTTTATATATTTCAATTCAATACAATAGTGTAATGCCACAACAGAAAGACAGACAATCCAATAAAGATAATAAAATAAAATAAAGAAATAAAATAATATAAAATAAAATAAAATAAAATAAAACAACACTTAGGAGTTATATATATGGTATATTCAAGGCAATAATTTCTTTTTCTTCCGACCTCCGTTTGTTGTATGAAAGAAACTGGTTTCAGAGATGTTGGGTTTAGTATTAATTTTGGTCAAATTGTCTCATCTATGTTCTCAAAATTAAAGAATTCATAGTTTATAATGTTTTCATATATTGTAATCAGTTGAAAACAGAATTAATAATTGATTTTTTACCACCCGAATGTTTGAAAATAAATAAATTTGATTTATTTTTTTTTATTTTTTTCAACCCTCAGATGGATAATTTTATGTCGACTATTAAAACTTCTAAAAATTCAAATGAAATATGTTAAAAGCTAAAATAAAATATATTTAAGTGAAAATGAAAACCACAAATTACATAAAGTCTAAAATAAAAACCGTTATTACTTTTTTTTGATAAAATCAGTAAAAGTAATATATAAGGTGATTTAAATACCGGTTCGATGTAATGGATCTCTCAGTCAATAGTGAAATAAAAATATTATACATGTGTTATTTACTTGGCACGAGGGTGATAATTTATTTTTTCGTGGTTTGACCATTGACCGAAAGGTAACATGTTTATGTTAAGACCTCAACGTGACAAATATGAGGTCCATTAATATTTACGAAAAACTAACCGACAATAAGAAATTTAATATAAACTATAACGGTCTATAAAATAAATGGAGTCATATATGTTGATATGTTTATTCAGATTAAGAGAATTTGTTGAAAATAAATATTTAAATATTTTAGATAAAAATTATTATAGTTTAATCTACGTACAATGGTATTTTGCCTAATAGCTTAATATGCAGAAAAAGGGACAGGTTGAGGTTACCGAATTGGCTGATTGATTTGTAAGAATTAAACGCCCTGCCAGCAACACGTGGTATGTACCAGCAAAATCTACATACATAAATACGTAATTCGTCATAGGAAGACCCCAAAAAAAATGAAAAGAGACAATCTAATTTTCAATTTCATGTATTATTGAATCTTTGATGAATAATTGTCTTATTGTCAATCTTACCATAGTTATCTGTTTATTTTTATGTCTTTACTAAACACACTCCACTACTTACTGCACGTAACACGAGCTCCGGTAATGTAACATATGTCTGCTCATCTTTAATACTAAATTTTCAAATTAGGAACAAAAAATGAAAACAAAACGGAAATTACAAGGGAAAACAACAGCAATGATTACTGAAAACAGAAGAAAAAAAAAGAAAAAAAAAGATTTAATGTAAAAAGAAAAATGTGTAGACAAACCAAAATATGATGCTTAATTCGAAGGAGAGTTTGGCGCCAGCAAACCTGTTTAACCTCGCCACTTTATTTATGTGCCTGTTCCAAGTCAGGAACCTGCAGTACAGTGGTTGTCGTTGGTTCATGTCGGTCATATTTCTTTTTCGTAAATTGTTTTGTTATAAATTAGGCCGTTAGTTTTCTCAATTGAATTGTTTCATATTTTTCATATAAGGGCTTTTATAGCCGACTTTACGGTATGGGTTTTCTCATTGTTTAAGGCCGCATGGTTGCTTATAATTGTTTCACCCAATTCATTTGAACTTTGGTGGATAGTTGTCTCATTGGCAAGCATACCACATCTCCTTATTTTTATGGAGCTAAAATCGGTTTAAAACAATATTGTCTTCAGAATAAAAACTCAAAACGAAGCAGAAATCGAAAATAAAGATCAAAACTTCAATATACCAGACAGTACTAGAATTAAGAAAGTTTGAGCAAAAGAAAGGCCACCATGCACGAACTGTAAGAAAATGAGCGACCAAAAGTGTAATGTTCGGTCAAAGATTACCACGGATAAGACAAAACTGCAATGAAATGATGACCTCGCGTTTCTTTGATCTTCTATTTTCCCAGCCATCTTTCATTTTAATTGTTGTAAGAATTTTGAAATGTACAATGGTTTTGTGAGCACCGGGTATTTCACGAGAAAAGGCCGCTTCTGTAGATAATAATCTCTCTCTATATATACATGTATATATATATATATAAGATTATTAATTAAGAAATAAAGCACAGATACATATTTCTTTTCATTCTAATAAAAATATTTTCTTATAATTTTGAATATTATTATGACTAATATAAATTATACAAAAAATAATTAGTATTTTCATGACTTTTTATTTGCATTTTTGGTATATTGTATTATCTATATAAACCTAGCATTAATTGTTTCAAGTATTAACAAAAATCCGAATATAAAATCCTTGCAGTGTGATAATAATAAAAATATTTCTTATATCTAGTAGTTTTATAAAGTAAATTTACATATTTTAATCCAGATGTAAAAAGTTCTTGAACGTGTTGTTCAAATACTGATAAACGGACTTAATAGCCCTTAATATTCGGTGGTATTCCTTAAGCCTATTGGCTGTGTAAATTATATGTTGTATTTCACCTGTGCAGGTAGAACATCAAAGGGGTTGATCACCTGAGATACTTCAGTCAATTTGAAAGACTGACATTGGTGATCCGTTACTTGTATCGACAAACTCAAAGGAAGATAAAACGTCTTAATCACCAGAGGGCGTGTTTGTTAACCCCGCCGAACGAGCTAATAAGAATTTAAAAGCAAATTAATTGAATTTTATACGTCAACTGTATTTTTTGAATATTACTGTTTGAAAGTAAAAGAAACTTTAGATCATAATATTCGAGTCATACAGTTCAAATTTTGAAAATTATAGACTTAAAATTATGAATATGCTTCGTGTTTCACTAGTAATTTAAATTTTAACGACAGTTTAAATATACTGTTATCAATAAAAGAAATATTAACCCTTAATTTGTTTTTCTAAATTCAATCATCTCTATGCCTTTCATGTCATGGAAGCTTTAAAATGATTATAAATTGATGGTGCTACAGTTATTTTAATATTGAAATGTATATTGCGTATATTGTTAGTAATAATTACATTTTTGTTAATATACACCATTAGAACATGGTATTAAAAGAGAAAATACATTACTGAAATAGTTTAGAAGTGACAAATGTAAGAATATTGAATTTTTAGACAAAGACAATCATTCTTGTGAAATAATAAATTTTCTCGAGCTATTTATTTTTACACGAAACTGGCGAGAAGAAAAATAACATGTATTTCAAATCGCGAATGCATGTATGTCGAACACTAAAATGTATCGCAGCGAAGTTAGCTAGAAACGCCGTTAACCTTAAGCTGTGGTCACACCTTAACGGATAGCTCGAACGGACGCCGAACGAGATGAAAAAAGTCTTCCGTTGACAAAATTTGTATACGTTGGACGTCCGTTCGAAGTTTTGAACATGCTCAAAATTTTCCACCGGACAGAATGGACGTCGACAGATAAAACGGAAGCTGAACGGACATGAAACGGATATGGACGGAAGTCTAACGGATATGAACGGACTTCTAACGGATAATGAACGGATTGAAAAAAAGTTATCCGTTCGGCGTCCGTTCGTGCTATCCGGTAAGATGTGACCAGGGCTTAAGATAGCTTTCACTAATTGTACGTGTAGCTATCCAGCGATACTGAAAATGGAAACAAGTCTGATTTCACACATTTCATGAAAATTAATGTGATATCTGTTTATTTTTTTTGGGGGGGGGGGGGGGGAGGAGGAGGGGGGTTCGAGTGTATTCGCATTATTATATTAAATCACTAAATCTATTTTATAATGTAAAGTAGAAGGAGATGATATACACTAAAACCCCTCATGAAAAATGTGAAATTAATATATACATTATTTTTTTTCTATCAAACTTCAAACTTTGTTATTTTTTTCATCAAACTAGGTTTACATTTTTTCGGTTAGTTACAAATGACTATTAGAGCAAACACACACAAAAAACCAAAAACAAACAGTTTACTCTAGTTCACATTCTTAAACTTTTTCAAATACTTTAGAAGAACCAATTCTGAACTTTTACAAACCCTTAATTCTTAAAGTATGACTATTTTTTCTCTCAACAATTAACTCGTGATATTGAATCATTTATATTGAAATGAAAGGAAAAGGTGACTTATTGGTCCATTTGGTCGGTGTATTTAGTATGTCTGATTATATTTTGTACATACATATATTTATGTTGATTTACACTATAATAAACAATTTATTTACTTACTTACTTACTTACTAGTATTCACTTACACAATACAAATAAATAAAGACGGTAACAGAAAAAGTATATGTGCTGATACAGTAAAATTTCAATTCCCAAAATTGCTTTATAAAGTCACCAACTTCTGACATTAGCTCAAATTCGAACCTTCAATAAGCACAGCAAGTTCTGCCAAGATAGGATAACAACAAAAATACTAAAACCAGAAGGCCCTTAAATACTACAAAAATAATGTACTTCTTTTGAACTTCAAACAAAAGAAACCCGCTTTCTCGTTGCAGGTCTAGAATCATCACATTTATTAGACAAAGCATTCCCAAGATATGGACGATTACCCAAAGGAGTAAGCTATGTGTATGATACCGAGTCTCACGTGCATGCGTATAAGTTTTTGAAAGACGTGACGTACATAACAATGGATTCTTCTGAAATACTGAATCAATGTCGATTCTTTCCGAATGAATTTTCAGTGTTTTTTATTATCAAACATAGTCGGACTTACACAGGGAAAGAATGTGTTTTAGTAATTGGTGACAACGATTCAAACATCATGTCTATAGAAATTAGCAGACGAAACATATTTTTTATATATAAAAGTAAAAAAGTGAAATTTAAAAACGAATTTCTACGTGACAACAAATGGCACACTTTAGGATTCAGTGTAGGAGGAACTCATGTTACTATGACAACCGATTGTATAAATACAAAACATAAACGGTTAAAGAGAATGTTTCCTGATAACGTTGACGCAGTTCACAAAACAGTTACGATAGCCAGTTGTGACAAAAACAATGGAGTTTTTCAGGTGAGTAAAAAATCTATTTTCAATAAAATTTGTAGATCTTTCTTTGTAGTTTGGAGGTAGTTTTCAGGTATTATTTGTTGGAGATTCACGGTTTGAGGGGGGGGGGGGGGGTTCGTGACGTCATCGAAAAAGCGCAAGATGTCTCGTTTTTCATTCATTGGTTGCAGTCTACCGCAGGAATGCTGGTACTGTTGTTAATTTAACAGGCGTTTAAAAATACCACTGAAAAATCCATAACTGAACTATACTGTCGATCAGTCAATCGTTATTATTGAAAAATGCAACAGATTTGCAACGACGGGTGCCACATGTGGAGCAGGATCTGCTTACCCTTCCGGGGAACCTGAGATCATCCCCGGTTTTTGATGGCTTTCGTGTTGCTCAGGGTTTAGTTTTCTATGTTGTGTCTGTGTACAGTTGTTTGTCTTTCGGTCTTTTTCTTTTTTTTTGTCATGGCGTCGTCAGTTTATTTTCGACTTATGAGTTTGAATGTCACTTTGGTGTCTTTCGTCTCTCTTACTCATTGTGAATAAAAAGAGATATTGGGTAAAAGATATACAAAGAAATTAATCAGGCAGATACTTTTGTCGACCAGAGACGATTTTCAACTACATAAGACCCATCAGTTGCACTAGAATCAAAATATTTGAAAGACAATATCAATAAAGAAGTTGGAGAACAGTGAAAATAAATATATTCCCTTAAAACTTTATTCCAAATAAAGATATGACCGTCTTTGTCTGGGGTTAGAGAACCTATTACGATTTTAGCATTTTATGAACAGTAAATATGAATATACATATAAGAGGAAGGCCAGTTTATCGTGTATTCGATTCACCCCATAACACTAACTATATTTGGAAAAGACTCTAAATCTTATTCAGATTCATGTGTCAAAGTTTCATGTTTGAATATCAGTGGTGTATTCAAGCGTGCTTTTTTAGGTTTGTAGTAGTGTAGAAGTCGTGGGTCCGATCCCCAACCGATTTAAACCAAAGACTAGAAACATAATATTTGCTACTGTTCCGCTAAGCACGTGGTATTTAGTAGTAAAAGCAAGGACTACTCGTTTCGTATTCAAAATGATGTGTTGGTTTTCGTTTAGGGTTACATATCTTCCTGTGGACTGTTACTTTGTGAAAAGGAATGTAAAAAAAAACTGTTACGACAACGTTCAAGAGCGAAAAAGGTTTATTTTCATTAACATGATCCTTTCCTGATATGCATGAAGACATAATCTTTCAGTTAGTTTAATTGAGGTCTGGAGCTGGCATGTCAGTAACTGCTAAAAGTCCTTTGTTAATTTATGTATCATTGTCATTTTACTTAGTATCTTCTGTTGCCTATTCTGACATCGGACTCGGACTTCTTTTAAACTGAGGTTGACTGTGCGTATTGCTGTGAATTTGTTTATTCTACATTGGCTAGAGATATAGGGGGGGGGGGGTGAGATCTCGCAAAACATGTTTTACCCCGACGCCTGTCCCAAGTCAGGAGCCTCTGGCCTTTGTTAGTATTGTGGTTTTTTTTAATTTTAGTTCATTTATATGTTTCGGAGTTTAGTGTGACGTCCATTTTCACTGAACTAGTTCACATTTTTGTTTAGGGGCAGCTGAAGCCCGCCTCCGGGTGCGGGATTTTCTTGCTGTTTTGAAGACCCATTGGTGGCCTTGGGCTGTTTTTGCTCTTTTGGTCGGGTTGTTGTCTCTTTGACACATTCCCAATTTCCATTCTTAATTTTATATAATATTTGCCAATGAACGTTACACAGCAATTCATCGTCATCATCATCAACACCAAAATGGTTTTCTAAACATTTAATAAATGCGAAAATAGACGACTCAACAACGTGTGGCAGTAAATAACTGCGGCTACGCATATACCTCCTTTAAAAAACTCTTGATATTTTCGTTAGTATAACGTCCTTGCAAAAAAAACCTCGGACCAGTAACAAGAAGCTCTCTTAGCACTTAAGATCATCTTAAGACTGTCTTAGTGACTAAAAGTGTAACAAGAAGCAATCTTATATCAATCTTAGAATGATTGACAGCCCTTAAGACATTCCAATTTCTTACGGATTTAAGGGAATTCTTTGCATCCCCTTATCATAAACTAATCAATTCGGATAACTCGAAAACATTTTTATTTTTTGTCCTTTAGTAAGAACTCTTTGTATCAACTTAAGAATTTACGAGCGTAAGAAGATTCTTACTTTACACGTTTTAGATCTAATTTCCTACTGCGTGTAGTGTAAGAATTTGGTTAGCTTGCTTGCTTTGTTTGTATATTGTACAATTGTAATTGGGATAACGTCCAATCAACTTTAAAATAATATATACAGGTTTAACTATGCCTATCTATATTGTTTGAAGATGTCAATCTAAATTACAATGCTTGAGCAAAGTTTAACGTTTATGCAAACAAAGCAAGCAAGCAAACCAAAGTCTTAATCTACTAGCATTAGGAAATTAGCTGTAATGTAAGTGTGGTTCTACCCACCCCTAAATTACTGTCTTTGAATGAAAACAGCGCTGGTTTTACATATGATGAATAATTAACAAGCGAAAAAATCAAGATCGCTTTACAAGACGTGTATTCCATAACCGCTGAAGTCCTTTTGATTTTGTGACGGATGGACAAATTATCAAGAACTATTGGTTAGACAGAGCGAGCATATATTGCTTATGGCTATATCCTCTACCCCCCTCCCCTGATACTATCCAAAAGAGAACCTTTTAGACACTAAAATATTAAAAAAATTAGTATCTTAATATATATACTGATCCTCAAATCCCCCTCCCCTTCAAGTCTTTAAAACACTGCCAAATTTCCGTCTTATATATACCGATCCTCAAATTTCCCCAAAACTAAAAAAAAAAGTATCTCATATATACCGATACTCAAATTTCCACCAAAACTAATAAAATTACAAACTAGATATCGAGCTATCAGTACAGTTCAATCCGTTAATGAAAAAGACGAAATGCATTTTAACGGAATACACGGTAAGAATATTCCGATATTTCTTATTTTAAATATTTCAATTTAAATAGAATACTGCCTTATATAAACTTATCCTCAAATTTTCAAAACAGCACACAACACTGTCTTATATATACTGTCTCAAGTCAGGAGCCTGAAATTAAGTGGTTTTCATTTGTTGCTGTATATCATATTTGTTCTTCGTTTATTGTTTTGTTCCTAAATCAGGCCGTTAGTTTTCTCGTTTGAATTTTTTTTACATTTGTCATTTTGGGGCCTAATATAGCTTACAGTATGGGTTTTGCTCATTGTTGAGGGCCGTACGGAGACCTTTAGTTGTTAAATTCTACGTCATGTAGTCTCTGGTAGAGTGTTGTCTCATTGACAATCATACCATTTTTTATTTTTCAATGATCCTCAAATTTCCCCAAAAAACAATAAAACATCGTCGTTCGGGGTTACGAAAAGAATGAAATCTTTCCTTTATTCATAGATAGATAACCCATGAAAATGCACCGTAAAAGTGGTCATTTCCTCTTGTTTAAAATTCGGTTTTCGTGGTCTTTTGCACTGAGCCTTTATATTCATGTTTTCTCTTAAACTTCCCATGTGTTGTTAACTTTATCAGGATCGATAATTAGCAGACTATATAAGCAAAAATCCTGTTACTTCAAAACGCACGAGAGATTTTTATTTGGCAGTGACTAAATCAAAGAAAGAAAACGTTGACGGACAGGACGGAATGTTAGTAAGCGTGCTTAGAATAAGACCGCCTTAAGAGTATTCTTAAACGATGTTAAGAGAAAGAAAAGGGCGAGGTTTAAAAGGTTCTTATCGCACTCTTTGTGCCTTCGTAAACTATGACTTACAAAAACTTTAAGAGAAGTTTCTTGTTACTGGCCCCTGGTAAGAATTATAAATGGAGGTCAATCGTATTACTAAAACCTTTTTGATCATATGCACGACTTTCAGGTACAGTAAATTCAGAACTTATTGCAATGTTCTTCGTTATTGCGAAATTTGCGGCGGGATTGGTTTCGCAAAATGAAAAATCTCATTTTAAATTTTGGTAGCTCAATTTGTATGCAGCATTTCCTGAAATCGCAATAATTAATCTTGGATTTTTGTCCATTGTTCAACAAATAGAATAATTAGTATACGCAATAATTTCTGCATTATCAGTAGTTTGTTCTAACCATCAAATGTGATTTAGGAGGACGTCTGTTTGATCATTTCTCACATTTTTATGCCCCGCCTAGGGGCATTATGTTCTTCAGTCTGTGCGTCCGTTCGTTCGTCCGTCCGTCTGTCCCGCTTCAGGTTAAAGTTTTTGGTTAAAGTTTTTGGTCAAGGTAGTTTTTGATGAAGTTGAAGTCCAATCAACTTGAAACTTAGTACACATGTTCCCTATGATATGATCTTTCTAATCTTAATGCCAAATTAGAGTTTTGACCCCAATTTCACGGTCCACTGAACATAGAAAATGAAAGTGCGAGTGGGGCATCCGTGTACTATGGACACATTCTTGTTTTCAATTACATTTACTAACATTGCAAATTGATAAAGTTTATCAATGACGATGCCCTTATTTTCGATGAAAACTATTACAACCATTAACCAATTATGAAGGTCTGGATGGGGCTTAAAGAATAGAGAATAATGGTCCAACATACAGATAAATTGGACAAAAATAAAAGAATCATAGGAAGAAAATGTCGAAAAATCAAGAATAGTGAATAATGGTGTACTAAAATATAAAGAAAGGAGATTACTGTTCAAAAATTTAAAGAAAAGAGAAAAATGGCTTAAAAAAAAGAATACAGAATTAAAAGACCCCCCCCCCCCCCCCCCCAATCCAGAACCTAGCTTATGTTATCCACTAACTGTAGCAGGAATACTTAATTTGTTTCATAATCAAACGTTCACTTTGATAAATATACATCTAGTCAATATTCTAAAAAATGTAAATGCCAGACATTTATCACCCAGTTTGTGGTTTGCGGTTAAAACCAATGAATTTAAACCTATTATTAAGGTCAGCGCTCCTCGTGGCCGTACCGTCCATGTGGTTTGTAACAGTTTAACCACACAATGTGTTGGTACTCGAAGGAAATCGTCAGCAGATTTCTTTCTATAATTCGGTTTATGTCTTTGCGGTTTTGTCCAAATAACACATCTTGGCATATTTCAAGCATACGTAGCCAAACTTATTTATAGTTACATGGTGCAGCTCAAGAACTCAAAAAGCAGTTGAAGCAAATAATGTAGTCGTCGAAATCAAGTCAGGAGTGAAGGGGGCAAACAAACATGTTTAACCCAGCCACATTCTGTCAAGACCTGTGATTTAGTATATCATACCGGGTATTTGTGTTTCAATTATTTTACTTTTTTTGTTTGAACTGTTTTACATTTGTAATGTCGGGGCCTTTTATAGCTTGTTATGCGGTATGGGTTTTGCTCATTGTTGAACGCTTGCGATGATCTGCTAACCTTCTATGTCATTTGGTCTATGGCCGGTGAAGATGTTGTCTCATTGGCAATCATACTAAATCCTCTTATTTCTATATTTTGTACATTTACAGGGCCAGTTACGTGATATCATATTTACTCCAGGGATCGACGCTACAACTAGAGCCTGTCCATCCAGGGTACCGAGACACACTCACGTGAATAATAAATTACCTATATTCCCAGGTAAATATTTTGACTGCTATATGAAAGATGGAATAAGCACGCTGAGAAATCCGTTCGGGACTCAAAATTTTACTCGTAAAAGAGTAGATTGCTGGATAAAACATAAAAGTTCAGTGGTCAATATTTGAGCTGCGTCGGATAGAAATCGACATTATGCAAGTGCACCTATTCATGTAGATATATAAGACTTTGATTGATTTTGGAACATTGAAATACGAAATAAAAGAGGAATTTTGGTCTGTTTTGTAGGGTTCTTATATTAACTTAATTTTCAAACAGTCACAGACTTTGCACAAGAGATTTTTTCAACCCGAAATAGGCTAACAGGTGTATTGATATTCCTTTGCATAAGGTCGATTTCTATCCGACGCAGCTCATTTCATGCATATTTAGGACAACGGGATAATTGTTTATAAATTTTTATAATGAATATTGAATACAGGTTTTGCAAGTTTTAGATTTAAGAACGGAAATGACAGCGGCAACATGGCAATATGGTATTTGACAAAGTCTGAAAAATGAACAAAAGTTCACAAAAACTCATAAGAAAATGAAAGATGTATAGCGACACGTTCCCAAAGAAAAAAACGTCGATGAACATCGGTGCTTTGGATAGTTAGCAGTTCGTGCTCATCTATTACCACACATCTTGTCGGCTAAAGTCCGAACACAGAAAGAGCAATATTGTAGCTAGGTCAATTGGAACATATTCTTAGTCATCTTTAATTTAAATATTTCAATACTACCAACCAAATCATGATGGCGTCCATAATGTCTTTGAAACAATAGAAGAAGACCTTAATCTGATATCTTTTATTATTTTTCTATACATAAATGATGGCGATTTATATGAATTTCCCAATGTGATAGCTATAGATTCTACCACTGTATCGAGTGTGATACGATATTTATCCACTCGAGACAGTTATATTTTCAAATGCAAAACGCGAGGCTCGCCGAGCGTTTTAAATATTTAAAATTGAACTGTCGAGAGTGGATAAATATCGTATTGTACAAGATTTGGTGGTGGAATCTGTTTCTCTAATGAATTTTTAACGATATACAGACAGACTTAATCTTTCTTTTCGAATGATCTGCAAAAAGATGTGTTCTTTCTATGTGACGTCATCAGGCATGATCGCCTTTTCATGACATCACAATAGGAAGTTCAGAGGAAAGCAAGAAAATTTGACATCGTAATCGAATTTTGACCAATGAAGAACTGAGATCAATCGAACCACACGTTGATTAAATAAAATTAATCAACGGGTCAGGAAAAGAATAAATCGTGTAATAATTAGAGACATTCCGATAGTACATGTTTGATAAAAAGTATAACTAATCGCCGTATTTGAATATCAAGAATAAGACCACTTGTGACCGAATGCTGCTATGGATTAAACGCTGGTTAGCCTAAGAAGAAGCCTGAGGTGTTCCACAATATTAACATGGGACGCAGATACCCTTAAATGATAGGAAAATAACTCTCTACGGGTTTTTGCTTTTAAAATGAATGCAACATAAGTGTTCTTTTTTTAGGCAATGTCTACGATTAATTAATTTTCTAATATCAAATGTTTACAGACACGTATGGATCGGACTCTCCTGGGCCACAGTGGGAAGATTGTACCTGGATGGACGTTGGAAACATAGCTTATGACCTCTACGCTAAATCTCTAAAGGTGTGTGTCAATGGCATCTGGAAACATGTGACCGTGGACGTCAAAGGTGACAACTATAAGGGACAATTCGTCGTTTTAGAATCTAATGCATTCTGGGTAATGTTTTCAAAAGCGTACACCAAAACGTTGTGGTTGGTTTAAAACGTTGTAAACAATGGAAATTGAACCAATAACGTAACGTTATTTTCATTATGGTGTACGAACAATGAGATTACCCATAGTTCTTTAGGTTCTGAAAAGGCGAATTAGTTCGTTGTAACTGATCTTAAATTATTTCTTTATGAATTTTAAGGGAAAAAAGTTTTTTATCTACGTCTGAAAAGTAACGAAATCAATAGCAATTGATTCGATTAGGAGACCATTTGTATTATGCATATGGTAATGCACAAAATTGTACCTAAACTAAAAATATGCGAATTTTATAGTTAACGCCCAATAAAATCAAATATCTTGAATGAATGTTCCGGCTGGCTGGCAGAAATAACGGGGAAACCCTCATTGTTGTATGAAGAGAGCGCTACTATTTCGAGTTACCATTTTTCAGTTTTAGTTTGAAAGGTATTCTATTTGCAGATTTATTTTTGTCTAAGCTTATTAATATTCGAATAATTCGTTGCACTCGATTGAAATTGAGGTAAACTATAGTCACGTGTTGCAAATGGAAACAGGAAACCCACCCTGGTTACCTACAACGAACAAACACTTCTTTTGTTGAAACTTTGCTGTGTACATAGAAAACAATATAAAAAAATGTGCTTTGCCACAGATTATTGTTTATACTGACTGTGGGATCCTGATCAATTCAATTGCTATTGATTTCATCACTTTTCAGCCGTAGAGAATACAAGATCTTAAACAGATTCCTTCTTTCTAAGAAACGTCTTTTAACCGTGTGGATTGGTCTAAAGTTATAAGGTCCGATAGGAAAGCATGCCTGGTAAAAACAGGTAATTTCTTTGCCAACAGGGGTATTGTCTTTGGGCATCTAGCTGAAATTTTGCGTGATCTCTAATATTACATTTAAGATGTCGGTGATTGGTTTTTTTTTTCATTCTTTTAATTGAAATCTTCTCTCAAACAGTCAGGATAAAATGTGCAAAATACTGAACAAAAGCAACAAAAATAAAAACAGAATTGAAAACAAATCTTGAACAATGGGAATTTTGAAAAATATGCAATCGTTCTGTGATTTTAATTTAACCTTGCACTATGCGATGAGTATTTTTTTTGTTATCATAAAAAAAAATTAAATACCGTTTCTATAATTGTTTCAAATATTTTCATACAGCCGATATTCCTAGAAAATTAGACTATCTTGAACTCTATCAAGAAATAAAAACTCCAGGACCCGGGATTGACGTCCATGTTTTTACCATCGAAGGAGAAGGAATGTTTGCTGTATTTGCAAATACGAGAAAGAAACTTGACGATGTATCGGGATTATATAAATGGAAAAACAAAAAGTTTATGTTGTATCAAAAGCTTTCAACATATGGAGCACAGAGCTGGACTCATTTTAAGATACAAAACGGGGTAAGGTTTTACATGTTTCTTTTTATTGATTATCTGAAAATGTATATGTATGTTTTTAAATTCATGTACATGCACAGACATCCTTTTTCAAGCTTATTAATAAAATGAATGTAATACATGTATTTCAAACAGTAGTCTTTTTCAAATGTAATTTTGATATATTGTCTTTGAATAGTTGTTTTATGATTTAATATTTAATGCCTATAAAAACCTAAAGCAAAAGCTCTTTTATTGCTGTTTTTCATCTCAAAATCACCGAGAGGTCTTCAACATGAAACAAAAACTCTCACCTAACTGGAATTCAAGATGGCCACTATCACCCGTTAACGAAATTATTTGCTCGATGTCGAGGTCGGAAGAACACAGCTGCAGGGTTATAACAACAAATTATTGATAATAAAGAAATATTACAAATACTACGAGGCCAGGGTTTTTTAACGACCTTAACTACCCATGAGAGTCTTGCTTGGTCGGTTACAAATACTGTCATAACTTTATGATTACAAATGTATCACGTTTCCCAAATTAGTTCGTTGCACTCGTCGCGATAAAGCCGTTTCGCGCTGACATAATCAACCAATCAGTTACACATAAAAAACTAAAAATGATTAAAGATCTACCTACAACGTTTATTTCATTTTCAGTTTTTCCTTGCAGTTGCAAACTATGGCCTGAATGACCAACCACAGAGTAATTCTACTATATATAAATGGCATCGTGGGAGAAAGAGATTTAAAGTTTTCCAGACCATTCCAACATGGACTGCAAGAGATTTTGAATATTTCAAAATAGATGGAGGGGATTTTTTGGCTGTAGCCAATCATGCCAAAGGTATATTTAACCCATTAGCTTGTTCAATTTGACTTTTTTTCTCATTTTTTTTTCTATCGATGGTAGTCTACAGGTATATTTTATATCATTTTGTTCATGATTGAAGTGGTGGAGTAAGAAAGGCAATGGATGAAGGTTTCATTCCTCCTGTTAAATTTATTGAAATTGCCACTGAAAAGTGACGCCACCGTCTATGTATATTCCTAGAGGATTTTAAGTAACTGCGAGATTTAAGCGTGGATTCTATACGCTTTCGGTGACTTTGTTCATATCGGGACTTTGATGATGGTTTCACTAATCAATGCTGTCAAATATATTTCCGCGTGCACAGTTAGCCAAGTTTTCTTAAACAAGTGGTGACGATGATAAACATTGTTTATGGCTTAACGTCTAGTGGCAAATATTTCATGCATATTCAGAATGATGAGTAATATTTCGTATATATTGTGGTTTTTTTTAGTTCATTTTTTGTTTGTTGTATTTTTGAAAACTTTTTACTGTAGACATTCTAATGAACTTGTGATCCAGGCAGATTTGTCATACTCTTCATTTTTGCTTAACGAGTTGATATTCGCATGCTTAAGTTAACAAAAAGAAAGATAACTCTAGTCATAGACTAAGCCGGAAGTGGAACATATGTATATTTCTTATAGATAATTAATGCGTTTTTTCTCATCTCTCCCCGTAATACCTCATTATGATGTGTTTTGTCCATCGAGTGGGAGATTGTCACAGCACTGGATTCCGAAGAAACCAAGATCAAAATTAATCAAATATTTTGCTGTTCGGTACGATTGAACAAGGGACAGCTATATAATAAGATATGACAAAATAATGTTCTTTTCAGCTAACAATTTAGGGTTGCTCTATCTTCTACTTCTTCTGATTGTATGTTCTTCATATGTTACTGAAGAGGGTCTGGATGTCCTTCAGTTCTTTATTCTTCAATTTTTAGACCATATTTCTACAACCTTTATTTATTTTGCCCGTTATTCTCTATTCTTTATATTGTAACACCCATTGGGCAATTATTCTCTATTCTGTATTTTTGGCCTTTAGCAATTTATTCTGCACAAAATTCTCTATTCTGTAAACCCCATCCAGACCCTAATAAAAGAACAATTTAAACATGTTTACAAAGTCTAATTAGAGTGGATACATTTCCGAATCAGAAACACGATGAATTGTGTTTTCCGTTAGCAAATTATAGACCAAATTAATATATCAGGGTCAATTTTTTAATAATCACTGCTAATCCTCGAACGACTACATGGTAAACATACGTTCGAATTAAAAGACAGGTTGGGCATATGCCACTGAGACATCAACCAAACGACACAAAAAAAGAAAGAACAACAAAAGCACAACACACAGTCTGAATACAATAAACAATGTTTTATACAATATATCTCTAGCTAAAAATCGCCCAGAGTCTAGGCAATTGGAAACAAATTTATATTTAGGTTATAAAGATGACCATAACAAACCACGATTAAATATTTGCTGCATTTCAGAGGCTTCATTGAGTGCAAAAGGTTTGAAAAATAAACACACAAGGATTTTGTTTTTAATTTCATAGGTTCAAGTCAGGATGTTGAGTCTGTTGTTTACAAATGGAACCCAGCATCACAATTATTTGAAGAATTTCAATCAATAATGACTACTGGTGCTTATGACTGGACTTATTTTACTGTGGAAGGATATCATTTCCTTGCCTTAGCACAAGCTTTTAATGGCATTACTACGCTGTTTGAATCCAGAATTTATGTCTTTCAGAAAAATGGTTTTTACCTTTTTCAAACAATGGAGGTGAGAAAAATCTATGAATCATGTACTATATCATACATTTATTGACAGATACGAGAATTCTTTCTGTGAAACCGATCTGTTAGACAACCTCTGTAAATGAGATATGAAAGACGATTGTACATTAGATATTCCTAAGAAGATGAAAAACACTTTTTGCCACAATTACAAAAAATACTAACTTACAAATCTTATTAATTATTATTCTTAAGAAAATCGTATATTTCAAAATCTACATATCCTGAAAAATAGTGCTCGATTATCCCGCTCAATCCCGGAAACCTTCCCACAGTGAACTATTAAATAGTCTTTTTGACTGAGGACAAAGGACTGTAAGCTGTTTTGCTTGTATACATTCTTCGTGAATTATATTTGGTCACTAGCTACAACTATTTTTGGGTGGATGACAATCAAAAAAAGTAAATTTAAAGTCATGCACTGATTAAACCGAATTGTACCTTTACCGTCTCTATAAATCTTCTACAATTATGCACACAAAGGTTGATTAGGGTCTAAAGACCTCTCCTGCAGAGACGTCCGTTTAGTTGTGCGGGATGCATAAATATGCTGCCACATTAAGTCAGAATGAGGTCATAAAATCCAATGCCTCATGTAAGGAGCGTGACACGATCTATGCACGTTAAATAACCCCTTGTAACAACAACGAAGGTTCTTTAGTTTTCCTGTTGCAAGGCAAAATTCTGTGCCCTATCAATCATAATTCATTTTCCAGTCAAAATCGAAATTCTCTACCTTCACCTCGATCGACCCACTTCGTACAACTTAACAGATGCTTCAATTGTTTTTGTTTTTTTCGTCCTGAATATATTTGCCACTGGACGTTAAGAAAGCAACAATCAATTAAACGGAACAAAGCATTAACGATACCAATTTTAGTGCACCAGATGCGTGTTTCGACAATTAATGTCTCTTCATTGATGTTCTAGGCCAAAACAACTAAAATTCATCACCTGATACAGAGCTCATTATAAATTTAAAAATAAAGTAGATCCGAATGATTTCAATAGATATAGGAAGATGTGGTATGAGTGCCAATGAGACAGCTCTCCATCCAAGTAACAATTTATAAAAGTAAACCATTATAGGTCAAGGTAGGGCCTTCAAGTTTGTTTTTATCGAAGTTATGCTTTCTGTATTTTTTTTATGGCTTCTATATATAAATATATTTAATTGCAGACAAATGGTGCTACTGATTGGGAATTTTTTACTATTTCTGGCTCGGCGTTCCTTATTGTGGCCAATGCATACAACTACGGACCTCAGAATTTCAAAAACAGAAATACCTACCTCACAAACTCTTCCCTTTACAGACTCAACATCGATAAAAAAGGATTTGAAAGATTCCAAGTGTTCCGCACTTACAGGTAATATTAATTACAGGTTCCAAGTGTATGTAGTCCAAGATTACTCTTGACGTCCAACGGCTGTTTTGCCAGACAAGCTTGGGCCGTTGGACGTCAGAGCTCGTCCCACATCAAAAAGTGGATATTTGCCCGTCCAAAATAGATGCGCTGCTTCGTCGCTTCTGGTGCCAACGGACGGCCTTGGAATTATATAAATTGGGTATCAATTTGTTCATTTTTCATTTATCTCTTCATTTATGTAAGTTTCACTTACCTGCCACCCTTTATTTTCTCATATTTAGACAGTTTTCACAGTGACCCATCGATTCAGACATTTTTACTTTTATTTTCAAATAGACGTCAAGTTACGAGAGATTTCGCGACATCGAGACTCAAATATGCAAATATACTGTGGAAGGATATCATTTCCTTGCCTTAGCACAAGCTTTTAATGGCATTACTACGCTGTTTGAATCCAGAATTTATGTCTTTCAGAAAAATGGTTTTTACCTTTTTCAAACAATGGAGGTGAGAAAAATCTATGAATCATGTACTATATCATACATTTATTGACAGATACGAGAATTCTTTTCTGTGAGACCGATCTGTTAGACAACATACTGTAAATGAGATATGAAAGACGATTGTACATTAGATATTCCTAAGAAGATGAAAAACACTTTCTGCCACAATTACAAAAAATACTAACTTACAAATCTTATTAATTATTATTCTTAAGAAAATCGTATATTTCAAAATCTACATATCCTGAAAAATAGTGCTCGATTATCCCGCTCAATCCCGGAAACCTTCCAACAGTGAACTATTAAATAGTTTTTTTGACTGAGGACAGGGGACTGTAAGCTGTTTTGCTTGTATACATTCTTCGTGAATTATATTGGTCACTAGCTACAACTATTTTTGGGTGTATGACAATCAAAAAAAGTAAATTTAAAGTCATGCACTGATTAAACCGAATTGTACATTTACCGTCTCTATAAATCTTCTACAATTATGCACACACAGGTTGATTAGGGTCAAAAGACCTCTCCTGCAGAGACGTCCGTTTAGTTGTGCGGGATGCATAAATATGCAGCCACGTTAAGTCGGAATGAGGTCATAAAATCCGATGCCTCATTTATGTAAGTTTCACCTACCTGCCACCCTTTATTTTCTCATATTTAGACAGTTTTCACAGTGACCCATCGATTCAGACATTTTTACTTTTATTTTCAAATAGACGTCAAGTTACGAGAGATTTCGCGACCTCGAGACTCAAATATGCAAATATTTATACTTTTTACACCTCCTTTATAGGAGATCGATATTTAACATTTAGTAGCCAACCACGATTTTTCACCTCCTTCACATGAGATCGGTATTAAGCATTTAGTGCCAACCACGATAACATTCGGGAGCTCTCGGATATTTACATTGCTTGCATCGTAAATGAGCGAGGTGTTAGATTATATATTATATTGACCTAGGGTCATATGCATACATCATTTCCCATAGTCTATTGTGCCTTACTTTTTTCTCGTGATCACATGACAAACTTTCAAAATGAAAGTTAAAATGCCAGAATCGGTGGGTCACTATGAAAACTGTCTAAATATGCGAAAATAAAGGGTGGCAGGTAGGTGAAACTTACATAAATGAAGAGAAAATGAAAAATGAACAAATTAATACCCGATTTATATAATTCCAAGGCCGTCCGTTGGCACCAGAAGCGACGAAGCAGCGCATTTATTTTGGACGGGCAAATATCCACTTTTTGATATGGGACGAGCTCTGACGTCCCACGGCCCCAGCTTGTCTGGAAAAACAGCCGCTGGACGTCAGAGTAATCTCGGACTAAAGTGTATGCAGCTTCTTGCAATGATTAGGAAATATATCTACGATTTATATTTTTAGGGAATTCACAGTTTAAAGACAAAAATGAATTTCTGCACGAAAAAAAAACATATGGCTAAATAGGAAAAAATACACTTAATATCAATGTCTACAAATAATAATTTCTCAATAATGACATATCATAAATTTCAAAATAACCATTTATGAGTTTAACATTAAAATTTCATCAAAATCGGACTTCAACTTAGTATTTGACAATGTTCTAAAAAAAATGTGTATTTATATGAAATAATAGGGGAAAATCTGATTGGGGAAACACTTTTGACCTAAGACTGTACATGGAAACTAATCAGAACTTTTTGCGGGCTAGGGCTAAGCAATTGCGGGTTATAGCTGTTACCTGTTACCTAATCTGTATGGTCCGCCTCGGTCAGGCGCACCACCAAACGATGTATTTTGGGATTGTATATACTTAGTATTTGTTTAGATTTCTTATCGAATAAACTTGCTGAACTACCATTTTAACGTAGTCGTTAAGTTTTTCCGATCCTTCATCAGGTCGATCATTATTTTCCTTTTCCAAGTATTTGAATATTCCTCTAGTCCTGTATAATGTTAATAATAATAATAAAATAACGTTACGTTATTGGTTGAGTTTCCATTGTTTAGTACGTTTTAAACCAATCACCAACAAACATTTTGGTGTACGCTTTTGAAAATATTACCCAGAATGCATTATATTCTGAAACGGCGAATTAGTTCACAAGATGTTTAGTATACATACAGTATATCATATGGAGAGATAGAGGAGAGAAATATGTTTTAATTTTTATTAACAAAAAAGAGGCGGAAGATACTAGTAACATCAGCAACAGTTGTCAATAGATATAAGAAGATGTGGTATGAGTGCCATTGAGACAACTCTCCATCCAAGTCAAAATTCATGAAAGTAAACCAGTTTGTTTATGTCCCTTTGAACAGTAATCTGTGCAAAGCTGGAAGGAAGGGGGGCTGGTGGTTGTGATACGGGTGCTCATTTTCTAAATCCCGATTTTGTTGTTATTTTTTTCACTTTTTTTCCTTCATTTTACCAGATCTCACTTTGTTTTGCCCCTTTATCCCATATCCCTCACTTTTTTTTACCCTATATATATACCCATATCCCAAAAGCGTTGCCTCCCCTCATAGTTTGTCATATGCTATGAAACTTATTTTTCTGTTCTTTTCTTCTGAAAAACATTTTACATCTCAATGCATGATAATTGAAAATTGAATTACAGCATTCCACCTTATTTATAGTAATAGTTGTGGTAAATGCGTATTTCTTTTCTAATTATATTTGGGTCAATCAAATTATTCTAGGAGAAAATTGTAGTGTTACATGTACCTATGAACAATTTAGATACATACATTACAAGTACACAATGTGTGCAGTAGTATTAAGTTTACAAATCTCATTATTTTTGAAAAACAGTCAAATTTAGTATACCTATACACACAAACATTTAGTACGTATCCACGTCTTTTTTCATGCAAGGTTATACTAATTACATTATTATGTATTCAGAACCACCGAACAATATTATTCATAAATATAGTGTTCTTGTTATGTTCACATATATTTTTTGTTCCTTGATTTTTCTCATTTTTTTTACATTCTTTTTTAAATTTTGTGACACACTTCGAATCGGACCATGCGCTACTGAAGAATTTCGCCTGACGAACAGGATGATCCGCTCATATGTACAGGTCATGCTCTCTCGCGCCAATTTTGTGCATACCTCGGGAGTCATCTAATGGGGGTTGACGTGTCATGCTACCGAGAGAGTGTTGGCCGGTTCTTATGTGCTGCGCATACTGTCAAGAAGGGAAAGAGATTATCGTTCCTTGATATAATCTGCATTTCACTTTTCGCAAAGTACGATATCCGTATGTTACCAGTTATTATACTGTTACATTTTGTATTTCACCAAGTCGATACACGAAGCATCATTTCACAGCAAGTTGATAAATGTGACGCTAGGATTTCCAAGTGTACATGTAAATGCTCTTTTGTTCCGACGTTGGAAAGTTCCGGGCGGAAAGAACTAACTAGCCGAAAAGTTCCGGAGGAACTTATTAACTAGTTACTTTGTTCTTCCTCTGGTTTAAAAGTTCCACCGGAACAAAGTGACTAGTTGAAAAGTTCCAACGGAACATATCAACTAGTTAGAAAGTTCCTTTTTGCCAAATTAGTCAAAACCGGAACTAACAAACTAGCCCAAAAGTTCCAACGGAACTTATCAACCAGGCAGAAAGTTCCATATGGAGAATTGATGCAAAGTAAAAGCGCGACATATTATATTTGAACCTTTCAAAGGGAAACCAAGATACTGCTTACAAAAGTCAAAAGGAACTAATCAACTAGCCACAAAGTTCCTCTTTGGCAAATAAGTCAAAACCGGAACTAACAAACTAGCCCAAAAGTTCCAACGGAACTTATCAACCAGTCACAAAGTTCCTTTTGGAGAATTGATGCAAAGAACCACACGAGGAGGGGGTATTCTTCCCTCTCTTGAGGGTACTATGAATACTAAATTTGCATAATAATGCAACTTATTCCGTTTTATGTGAGCTATGAAATACAACTTCAATTTTGCATATTTGTCCCCAAAGAAACCCCTTTCAGTGCGTTGGATATTCTTGTATATTAATGATTTGCTCTTATATATGCTGATACTCATTCTTCCCCCTCTTTCTACAAAAAGGACGAAATATGGTATATTCGGAACGATGTAACTAGTTGTTCTGTTCCGCCAGAACTATTCAACTAGCTACATTGTTCCGGGACTTTTCAACTAGCTACTTTTTCCGGAACTTTTCGACTGCACTCGGAATAAAACAACTAGTTGGAAAGTTCCATCGGAACGAAATAACTAGTTGAAAAGTTCCGCCGGAACAAAGTAACTGACGGAACATAGTGGCTGTTACATACACACGACCGTTTACATGATCATTGTGATCTTATCATAGCTTGCTCGTTTAGTATAGTTTGTATCTTGTTGTTGATATCCGGCATTGAACCAAATCCAGGTCCGTTGACTGCAGAGTCAAGCTCTAGTAGTAATAGTAGCCTCGATGATGTCTTTAAAAACGCTGTTTCATTTATGCATCTTAATATTCAGAGTATTGTTCCGAAGCTTGAGTTGATTGCCGCTGAATATTCTTGCCATGAAATACTCTCGTTTACCGAAAGCTGGCTTTCTCCGCAAGTAAGCAATGAAGCCATTTTGTTACCGGGTTATAAAACACCATTCCGAAGAGATCGGGTGGGAAAGGTAGGGGGAGGTGTTATAGTATATGTTAAAGATAATTTGAATTGCACCAAAAGGCGAGACTTAGTAGTCTGGTATATTGAGTGTATATGGCTCGAAGTTAGATTCAAGACCAAAAAATATCTTTATGGGACCTTTTACGTCCCACCTAACAGTAGTCCACAGGTATGGGACAACATAGAACAGTCTATCGACCTTGCCTTATCTTGTAATTTAGATATCATAGTTACAGGCGATTTTAACACCAACCAGTTAAGGAACACCACTAACGATAGAATTAGTATGATTAAAGCACAATTCAGTCTACATCAACTTATTTCCGACCCAACTTATATTACAGAACACAGTTCTTCACTTCTTGACCTTATTTTAGTAAATGACCCAGTTAACCTCCTATTTTCTGATATCGGGGCCCCGTTACTCGATCAAATACGATATCATTTACCAGTAATAGGTATCCTTACCCAGCCTTGCAAGTTACATCAAGTTTTTAAGCGTAAAGTATACATGTATGATAGAGGTGATTATGACTCATATAGACCCCAGCTATCACTTGTTAATTGGGATGCTTTATTTATTACAAATGACGTTGATGCCATAACACATGCTATAACGGACGAACTTATTGACAAGGCAAATACAAACATTCCTAACCGAATTATTACAGTCAGAAAAGATAAACCACCATGGCTTACTGCTGATATCAAACGGATGATTCGTAAAAAAAAATCGTATCCATAAAAGAGCCAAAAAAACAAATTCTGCTCCGGACTGGGCAAAATTTCGATTATTTAGGAATAAATGTAATAAACTAGTTTTAAACTCAAAAACTTATTATTTTTCAAAATTGTCAACCAAAATTATATCTGAAACTCATGGTGGCAAACAATATTGGAGTCTTATTAAATCTTTGATGAAATGTGACTCCAGTGACAGTCGCAACATTCCCCCTTTACAGAAAGACGATGATCTGATCTGTGACGATACAAAAAAGGCAAAAATATTTAATGATTATTTTTGTGGTCAATCAAATCTTGATGACTCTAACATACATCTGCCAGACATACCTGACACACGAACAGAGGGACTCGGTGATATGATAATATCTGAGAACGAGGTAGTAGACATTTTGAAGATTTTGGACGTATCAAAAGCATCGGGACCAGATCGAATAAGCCCACGACTTCTAAAGGAAGCATATGGAATTCTGAAATACCCTTTGTGCAGGTTATTTTACCTGTTTTTATCAGTTGGCAAGTTTCCTTCTGACTGGAAATGTGCTAATGTTACCCCTGTATTTAAGAAGGGTTCTCCAAGTGACTACAGAAACTATAGACCGATCTCATTGATAAGCGTTATTGGAAAAGTCATGGAAAGATGTGTTTTTAAGCATATTCATAATTATCTACTTGCTAACCAGATAATTACACCCAACCAATCGGGTTTCACTCAAGGGGACTCAGCCATTAATCACTTGCTTAATTTTACAAATGAGTTTGGGAAGGCATTAGATGACGGGAAAGAAATTAGAGTAATTTTTTGTGATATAAGTAAGGCATTTGACAGAGTTTGGCATAAGGGGTTGTTGAGAAATTTAGAAGCTATTGGCTTTAAAGGTTCTATTTTGGCATGGGTAAAAAATTATCTATCTGATAGAAAGCAAAGGGTTGTAATTAATAATGTATCATCCGAGTGGGGCAATATAAAGGCTGGAGTACCCTAGGGGTCGATCCTGGGACCTCTTTTATTTTTGATATTTATCAATGATATCATATCTGATATACAGTCCACTATTAAGTTGTTTGCTGATGATACAAGTTTATATTTGATAGTAGATGACCCCCGAGAATCGGCAAACAACTTGAATAGTGATCTCGCAAAAATCCATAGATGGTCTTCAGATTGGCTAGTGACCTTTAACCCTCAGAAAACCGAGACCATGACAATTTCACGGAAACTTAACAAACCTGATCATCCAAAACTTAACATGAACAACGTAACTGTAACTGAGGTATCCACCCATAAACACCTTGGATTACATATTTCAAACGATGGCACTTGGCATAAACATATTGATGTAATAACCGAAAAGGCATACAAACGACTGAATGTTCTACGAAAATTTAAATTCATCCTTGACAGACGAACACTCGAGACAATATACCTAACATATATAAGACCATTATTAGAATATGCTGATGTTATCTGGGACAACAATACACATCTTTTGATTGATAAAATTGAAAAAGTACAAGCAGAGGCTGCCAGGATCGTAACTGGGGGTACTAGGTTGGTGTCCATAGAGAGATTATATCTCGAAACGGGTTGGGAAAAGCTTAAAGATCGAAGGGAGGGCCACAGATTAATTTATTTTTACAAGATGAAAAATCATATTACTCCGGAATATTTATCAAACTTAGTTCCAGAATCCCATGCAACCATACATAATCATAATACGAGAAACTCGTCACTAATCCCCCTGTTCGAACAAGAACAGCCCTGTATTCGAATTATTATTTACCGGCAGCTGTACGTTCATGGAATCTCCTCCTTGAGAATGCTAAGACCAGTACTTCGGTGGGGGCATTCAGGAATTGTGTCCAGTCTCGGGTGACTAAGCCTCCAAATTATTATTACATTGGTAAGCGATTAGGTCAAATTTATCACTCAAGACTTCGAATGCAATGCAGTTCTCTAAATCAACATCTTTTTGTAAAAAATATAGTGGCCTCACCACTTTGTTTATGTGGTGCTATAGAAACAACAGCGCATTACTTGTTGCACTGCCCCCGATTTCACATCATGCGTGAACAGCATTTTTATAACATCAATATCATACATTTCTTGTCGGAAGAAATTTTGCTACACGGTTCAACGGATTTCAGCCACGAACAAAACATTGAAATATTCTTGGCAGTTCAAACATTCATACTCAGTAGCAAAAGATTTGTCATATGATTACAATCATCTTGTTCAACAAGTAATACTTATATCTTAAATAATTGTGTCCGTTCAGAAACATACACTTTATTATTGTTTATCTGATGTAAAAAAAAAAATTTTTCTCTTTTGTGTTCACAACCTTATTACATGTATATGTTTTGTTTGTTTTCCATCTAGTGTAACATTGTTAAATTTTTTACACTCTACTCCTTGAGTATTACAATATGAAATGTTCTTATTTGAATTAGGAAACGAATTAATATAAGCTAACAGCTTGTTTCTGGATCCTATTAATTATTCACTTGTATTAATATGTAAATGCCAATTTTTGTACATTACTTAACCTGAATTTAATTAATAAAATATGTTTACACTATGAAACTTGATTTTCTTTATTTTTCAGCGCTGTTGATTGGGAATTCTTCTCCATTGATGACAATTCGTACCTGATTGTATCTAATGCTCAAAATGGCGGGAATGAAGAAGAACAGTTAACTACTATATACCGGTGGCAAGGAATGGATAAATTCGTTCCCGTTCATAAAATGTCTACGCTTCCAAATACAGACTGGGAAGTGTTTCATGAAGGAAATGATCTGTATTTTATTTATGCAAATGCAAAGGGGCGGACTTCACAAGTGCTCAAAGCCAGATTTTATCCAACGTGATTCTTGTTCCAAATCGGAACTATTCGGCCATGTTCGTAAACAGCAGTTACGATCGGATTTCTCTTTCAATACGGATAAGACAAATTATAATGATCGCCCGATGTTCTGGATGAAATAGATCTTGACAAATACTAGTAATCTGTAAATATATAAAATCATGTGCGGGTCAAGAAAGAAGGGGTCTATGGGTTCATTATGAAAAGGACGGTTGCAGTCTAATTTTCGTAGATTTAACGATGAATAGAAAGTAGGGTAGAGATTTCTGTCAATGATAACGTACGATAGAAATTCATTCACACTTTCTGTTAAAATAACTTGCACAATGTACAACCCTCGGCTTGATCTAAAATTAGATACTGAACTTTTAATGGTATTTTAAACGTGGTGTACATTTAAGTTGAAAGTACTAATGAGTTCCGTATGGTTGTGTCGTCATTGCATTTTATCCTACAATCGAGCTTTCTACTATACAAATACAGGATGGCAGATAACATGAACCGATAAACGTATACTAGACGTTTATAGTCTCCTGGTATCCAGCTTCTGTTGCGAGCGGTTATGTTTCCAATAACTGTTTACAGTTCAATTTAGGGTCCTCATTGCTGTCCGCGTTTGATTCATGTCGATTTCATACTACAACAATTTGGATTGGAAAATAACTTTACGTATAAGCTCAATGTTAAATTTCAGGATAAAATCAATATCCGTACAGTGTAGGAAAATATAAAATGTATTTTTACTCGCTACAAAACAGGAGAAAAGCTCGACTTGTCTCGTTTTTCTCTCTGTTTCTAAAGCTAGTTAAATAAATTTTATATTTTCCTACACTGTACGAATATTGTATATATAAATACTTGATTAATTTAAACGCCAAGAACTTCATATGCATCTGTTAATTTACGGTTCTCTGATTTTAAATTTCAAAGCATGATAAGTTGGAAAGAATTGTTGCTAAAATTACCGACATATTTTAAACTACACATCGCTTAAAAACACAATTGAAAGTTTGTTATCTGATAACTGTAATCTATTTAGTGCTTCAGCGCTGTAAAGCAACAGCATAGAAGTTACAGAAGTCAAAGATGCAAAAGGTTTTGTTTTTGAAATTAAAAACGTTTACATGTTTTTATATATCAGCTTGAATTCATTACAGTTTTTATTTACTAGTATGTAAAGTTGATAGGACAGCATTGAACATTTCACGGTATCATTTAAAAAATTAATGCCCTTACTATTTATTGTGCGTGAGGTAATTTACGATTAGGAAAATCATAAAAGATTCAGTTTCTTATTTTATTTTAAAGTAAAATGGAAATTAAAGAACGTAGAGGGCGTACGTCCCCTTTGATTGGAAAATATATATTTTTTTAGCATTAAATCGTCCAAAAAAATAGTATTCTAGTATTACGCCCCCTTTTAAAAATCCTGAATATGCCCCTGATAGCTTGATTTAAATAGCTATAATAATTATTTATTGATTTATTGATCGGTGTTTAACGCCACTTTCAACACTATTGTGTTATTTCACGGCGGTTAGTTTTTATTGGTGGAGGAAACTGGAGAAAACCACCGACCATCGGTAGGAAAACTGACAATCCTAGTCAAGTAAGATTGGAGTCGAGTGCACCTGCCTCGTGCGGGATTCGTACTCACAACCTCAGTGTTGAATGGCTAGTGGTACAGTAGTTGGATTACTTAGACCACTGGGCCACCGAGGCCTCAGTTATTATTTAATGGAGCTACCAATCTCTGGGATTGTTTGTACCTGATTACACAATTCCTGGGGTTTATGGTTTGGTTCTATAAATAAATGATATGTTAGATTGTAGATAACTGTACATATTTGATATTATTTATTACAGGGACAGATACAACATTTCTAGGCACGGTAGTATTTACCTTCCGGAATTTAGGTTGCTCTTTTGTGTACCCTAGAGTACTTAAGTCAATGTATCTGAACAGTGTGATTGTACAAAAAACATACAGTAACTACTAAACATACTTTCTCAAACTGAGGAATGAATCAGGTGTAGAAAAATATGAAATTATTTTACATACAGGTGAAAATGAATTTTTGAAATTTTTTTAGAATTTTGTATTCACTGCATGATAAAAGACCTAAACGCACAAGTGGCCTTATAGGTTTTTGAAGATAACAAAAAAGTAAACGGTCATCATACATATTCAAATTTTTTCTGAATATTATAATGAAAAAACTTCAATAATCTGTGTATGTAGAATTTTGGGCAGTGTTAGAAAGTGGTGAAAATTCTGAAATGGCTATCATTATCCCTATGGGTCAGGAAATACCACCGTGCCACCTCAATCAGCACACGTACATAAATACGTGGACGCTAATGTAAACAAAATAAGACGGTACACTAAATGCCAAAATCATGTTGGTAACAGCCAATAACTTGATATTTATAAGTTTAAAAAATAAAATCTAAATACTTCATTACCTCTTTGGTTAAGTATATTGAGAAGACAACGTGGTTGCTGAAATATTTCATAGCTAAAACGCGTTTAAAAGTACAATTGAAAATGCATTTTCTGATTGCAGATCATGTCATTGAGACGTATTCTTTGCGGATTGTTCCCGAAATTTTGAACTAACATCTTTTGTCGGAAGTTGTTTAAAAGAAATTCGGTTGAACTGGTTTTCATGTGGAGCATCTCTTATATTAACACTTAAATTCAGAAATCGCCAATTACATAACTTAACCAAAAGTAAATAATAAACAATTTAATAATTTTGACTTTAAAGAGGTACACACCACTTTGACTAAAACAGATTTAGCTTGTTTAATTTTCATAAAATGTGGACGAAATATTGACTTTGACCTGTTGACAAAAGTATAAAAATTTCAAGAAATTTGAACCACACAATTTGCAGGAATAATTTCATTGGATATATTATAGCAGTTTGACAATCACTAATTTTGATTATTGAGAAACTTGATTTCTCTTTTCTTATAGAATGTGATTAAAACGTTCGGCTGATTGTTAAAGAGTTAACTCCCTTGGGTGTTCTGTACCCCCTTAATCGGATGATGAACTTTCAATGGTATTTTTCAACGCGAAATGTGAGTTTTTTTTTACTGACAAAGTGTTGAGCGTTGATACAGCCAAAATTGATTGTTATCTATCAGCGTTTGATAAACGTAACAATAAGGTGGTACATAACACTACAGGGAGATAACTCTTTAAAAAATCAGCTGAACGTTTTAATCACGTTTTATTGTTAAGGAAATATTAAGTTTCTCAATGATCAAAATTAGTGTTTGTCAAACTACTATATATCCAATGATTTTTTTTTCCATTAAAGTGTGTGGTTCAAGTTTTTTGAAATTTTTATATTTTTATCAACGGGTCAAAGTAAATATTTTTTCAAAATTTTATGAAAATTAAACGAGCCAAATAATTTTAGTGGAGGTGTTTGGTACCGCCTTAATAGCCGCGGAAATTAAATAATCTAGCTTACTGTATGAACAACAACTGTTTGAAAAAATAAAATACAAATCTTAGCTTTTCGGAAAGATGGGCCTTTTTTATATATTAAATAAAGTTTCGAATGCACAATATTTTCCTCCATATTGACGTCAATAATTGTTTTCTAAATTTGAAGCGCACACTGTTTTCTGCAGCTCTATTCACATAAAAAACTTCGATTAAAATTCAACGTATGTTACATGTATACTGCATATACTAATGAGATATATATATATATATATATATATATATATATAGGACTCTAAAGTGCGATGGTACTCTAAAGTGCGATGGTCACGCTAAAGTCCGATGGTCTACGCTACATGTAAGTTACAATGGTGCCAGACGGTAAAGTGCGATGATTGTTTGTTTTTTTAAGTGCGATCAGATGATACGCTAAAGTGCGATGGTATGACACGCTAAAGTGCGATGGTATATGACACGCTAAAGTGCGTTGGTTTAACACGCTAATGTGCGATGATCCGTTATTTTTTTAGTTTGAATTGTTTTACACTGGTTGTTTTGATACCCTTTGGTCGTTATAGAATACTATCTGCGGGGTTAGCCATACGGTAATCTATAGTTAATTACATTAATGACATTAAGCTTTGGATAGAGACTTGTCTTACTGGCAATCATATTATGAAACTACACCTCTGGTCGTTAGGTTACTGTCTTGTTGACGAGTATCCATCTCTTTCACAGACATGACGAAACCATATTGTAAAAAATTTTTTTGTTTTAATAATTCAATTAGAAAGATTAGCATATCAAACCATCGCACTTTAGCGTAGGCCATCGCACTTTAGCGTGACCATTGCGTTTTAGCGTCCCCATCGCACTTTAGAGTCCTACATATATATAATGAGATACAGTATGTTTAGCCTTATGATTATTTATGCAGAAAGTGGCAGGATATTCACGACAGGACATCGTGCTCACGGAATGATGTATCTGTTTCTATCACTATTTTATGATGCCAGTAGTTTGTATGTTTGTATTAAAATCAGCTGATCCCAACAAAAACAATGTATGTATTCTTTCTCTTTTCCATTTCAATGATCGAGATACAAGTGTATACATAGGGGCGTCTGTATACAGTGGTCTTCTGTAGGAAGTTGAGGGTTCGATCCCCAGCCGGGTCAACCCAAAGACTTGAAAATTGGTATTTTCTGCTTCTCTGCTACGTACTCAAACAGCATTAAGGAGTTTGAGTAAAGATTGCCTGTGTTTGAGTCAGAATAATATTTCAAAGTAGGGTGATATGTCTTCTTGTACACTTATTTAATCGTAATAACAACCTTGTGATCTAGCATGTTGAAAAATACACGGGGGGGAGGGGGGGTCTCAACATGGGATTTGGGGTACAGTTGTGCAGGATTTTAAAAAAATACCCCCTTTCATATATTGAAAAATTGTAAAATCCCTACCTATACATATATTTCACAGCGAAATCATAGCCTATTCATATATTTATCACCCATTGAAATATCACAATTGGTCAATTACTACCTATTGATATATTTCCTCGGTAAAATTGCACCCCATTGATATATTTGACGTATCAAAAAATGGACCCATTCCAGCGGCACATATGTCACAGTGTGGGAACGGAACTGTACGGTTTTGTAATGTTTTGGTCATTCGGGAGACTGTCAAGCGGGACTCCGTTATTCGAAACAATAACAAGTTGCTTGATGGAAAGTTTGATGAACTCAGATGTTACTATATAACGTTTCTGCTGCAAGTTATGGTAATCAAAACATTCTATATGTAAATATGAACCAATAAAATAATAAAAATGACATATGCATCCAAACGTTTTCCTTAGTTACTACCAGAATTTTCACATGTACCTTTTCTGATCTATAGTCTTACCTGTCTGAAAGTTTAAAAGCCATTGTCCCAGTAGAAATTCAAATATATTCATTTTCTAAATGTCGGATATTTTAATTGACTGTACAATCGCTTGCAAGTTTACTGTACAATCACTTGGAGCTATCTTGTACAATCGCTTGGCCAACTTCATTAAATACATTACATATGCGTTTCATTGGTTGTTCCT